CGAGCAACTACAGCCGTGTACAGTGCCTGTGCAGTCTTGTGCTGCCCAAAGTGCTCGCGTTCGTCTATTGGCAGGGAGTTGCAAATAGCGAAGCGAGCGTGGGCATCACGAGTCTGCCATCGTGAGCGAGCAGTGCTATCAGCAGTAGCAGCAGGGGCAGGGACATGGCCTAGGGCGTGATCGTACAGTGAAATGTCATCCTTGGCTGTGAGCTGTAGGTAGAGGTGCAGGTCATCGAGCCAGATGTCAAATTTCACAGGGCGGCCCTCAGCATCGAACACGAGAACCTGTGGGCTAGCCATAGGAACAGTAGAAATAGCAGCAGTAGGAGAAGCAGGTAGGACGAACCAGGTAGGGCCGGGCGGTGGGCTCGGTACAGGTCGTTGCGCGGCTCGGCGGGGTGGAGCGGCTCGGCTCAGGGCGCGCGGCTCGGCTCGGGGCGCGCGACTCGGCTCGGGGTGCGCGGCTCGGGTCGCGCGGCTCGGGTCAAGGCGGGAACGGGCCGGCCGGGGCCTCCAGGTGGTGGGCACGGGTCGGCGAGGTCGGCGTGGGGCCGGTTGGGGCCTTAGAGGGGCGAGCACGGGGCCGATCGGGGCCTGAGCGGGGCTGGCGCGGGGCCGACTGGGCCTGAGCGGGGGTGGCGCGGGGCCGACTGGGCCTGAGCAGGGTAGGCGCGAGGCCGACGGGGCCTGAGACGGGGCCGACGGGGCCAAACGGGGCCGTGACGGGGCTAGCAGTGGGGCCGACGGGGCCTGAAACGGGGCCAACGGGGCTTGATACGGGGCTAGCGCGGGCCGACGGGGCCTGAAAGGGGCTAGCGCGGGGCCGACGAGGCGTGAACGGGGCTAGCGTGGGGGCCGATTGGGGCCAGAATAGGGCTAGCTCGGGGCCGACGGGGCCTGAAACGGGGCCGACGGGGCGTGAAACGGGGCTAGCGCGGGCCGACGGGGCGTGAAACGGGGCCGACGGGGCCTGAAATGGGGCTAGCGCGGGCCGACGGGGCCTGAACCGGGGCCGACGGGGCCTAAGACGGGGCTAGCGCGGGCCGACGGGGCCAGAAACGGGGCCGACGGGGCCTGAAACGGGGCTAGCGCGGGCCGACGGGGCCTGGAAACGGGGCTAGCGCGGGCCGACTGGGCTAGCGCGGGCCGACGGGGCCCGAGAGGGGGCCGCTATGTAAAGCGGGCGTGGGGCCAACGGGGCCTGAACGGGGCTAGCGCGGGGCCGTCAGGAGGGGCCTCTAGGGGCGGGACGCGCCGAGGCGCCCTAGGGCACAGGTAGGTAGGTAGTAGTTAGGTACGTAGTGGTGGGCCCTTAGAAAATTTCGGTTCTAGGAAGGACCTGCTTTATACCATGTTAGAATAACTCAACATGAAAATGAATGAACTAGCAGTGAAAACAGTCAAGTACCTAACCCTAGAATTGTGTACCCCCTATAGGCTAACCCACTGTAGCCTAAACTAACACAACATATATATAATGTTTGACAGTCGACGCCGACCACGCCGAAGATTCTGACAACAGGCACTCGCGCACAGGCTACATCTACCGCCTCGAACCTATCGGACCTATCTCGTGGCGGTCGAGTAAGCAGAAATTAATCGCTCTCTCCTCAGCTGAAGCAGAATATATCGCACGTTGCTCATCCACCAAGGAAGGATTGTACCTTTGCGAACTCTTGTAGGAAGCGAAGCTGGCTCAATTACCCAGCTTCACTCTGTTCTGCGACAACCATTCGGTAATTCGCATAGCCAACAAAAACGGATTCGCGAACAGGACGAAGCATATTGCCCTGCGATATTTCTTCGTGAAGGACGAGATCGAGAAGGGGAGACTTGAGCTGTCTTACTGTCCCACGTCCGAGATGGCAGCTGATTACTTGACCAAGAAACTCGCAAAGCAGAAGTTTGAGTACTGCATGCTGCTGACTGGTCAGAGCGAGTTACAAACTACTGGATCTCAATGCCCAATCCCGGCCACCAGTATACATCACTGAGGGCCCACCAGGTTTTCTTGACACCCAGGCGTCCTCCATACTTAGTGGCTTCCACCTCTGCTTGAATATCATTCCGCACATTTCCCACATGTGGGACAACAATTTCTTTCTTGTGCCACCAGAGCTCATGCTCCCACAAGAGATCCTTTGTATTCTGTGGGCTCTGAAACCAAGGGTCAATATTATACCCTGCCCGAATGCGTTTCAGAAAACCACCAAAGGCAATCTCGCTCACTCGAGCAGCTGCGAGGATGCTGAAACAAGCAACAAACACTGCTTCATGTTAATTATCATCAACCCTCGTTGCTGCTCCAATCGGCTGATCCCTCGAGCAGCTGCGAGGATGTTGAAACAAGCAGCAAACACTGCTTTATGTTCAGATTATCAACACCCGTTGCTGCACCAATCGGCTGTCTGCTCAGAGGATCAGCCATGTTCGTCGAGCCCGCTCGATATCGAATATCATAGGTGAACCCACTAAGGAGTTCAGCCCATCGAGCTTGACGACGGGTGAGTGTGGCTTGAGTGGCAAAATAGGTGTTCAGACAGTGGTTGGTCGTGACCACAAAGTCAACACCTTCAAGATAACATCTCCATGTTCGGAGCGCATGCACAACCGCCAACAATTCCTGTTCGGAAGTTGTATAGCGCTGCTCAGCCGGAGAAAGCTTTCTACTCTCAAATGCCACGAGGCATCCTTCTTGCAAAAGAACTGCTCCAATCCCTACTGTCGAGGCATCAGTTACTACCTCGTAGGGCTTGGACGGGTCTGGCAAACCCAGCACTTGAGCATTGGTCAGCATGGTTTTCACCTCCTCAAATGCCTTCTGGCATTGATCGGTCCAAAGCCAAGCATTTACCTTACGAGTGAGGGCAGTCAGTGGAGCGACTACGGAGGAATAATTTTCCAAGAAACGGTGAAAATAGTTCGCATGTCCAAGAAATGATCTGACCTGTCCCACGTCCTATGGAACAAGCCACTGTTGGACTGCCGCCACTTTCTTTGGATCAACTTTTAGGCCGTTGTTGCCTACCAAGTGACCAAGGTATTCCAACTCGCGTTTGTAGAAGTGACACTTCCACAACCGAGCAAAGAATTTATGCTCACGCAGTTTTCCTAACATCCATTTTAGGTGTTGCGTATGTTCTTCTTCGGTCTTCGAGTAAACGAGGAAATCATCCAAGTATATTAGGACGAATTGGTAAATTGCCTCCCGGAACACGTCATTCATCGCTCGGCGAAATGACGCAGGAGCATTTGTCAAGCCAAAACATAACACACGCCATTGAAAATGCCCGAACGGTGTTCAAAAAGTCATTTTAGGAACATCTTCCTCGGTGATACGCAGCTGATGATACCCCTGAGCTAAGTCTAGCGCGCTGAACCACTGAGCTCCTTGGAGCCGATCGAACAAATCCTCAATTCGTGGTAGAGGTTATCTGTTTTTCACAGTAATCTTATTTAAGGCACGATAATCTATGCACATGCGTAATCCTCCGCCCTTCTTGTTAACGAACAAAATATGTGCTCCGTAAGGGGATGCACTGGGTTCAATCCATCTTTTTCTGAGGTATTCCTTGATCTGTTGTTTAGCCTCCTCGTACTGAGTTGGACTGAGGCGATACAGAGGTCGAAAGGGTGGAACCTTTCCTGGTTCAACAGGGATGGTGTGACCCACTGCGCGGTCAGGTGGAAGTCCATCAGGGATGGTTTCAAACACTTCCTTGAATTCCTTTGCCTGTATTTGCATCTGAGGAGGGAAATCCTCAATTGCTGGCTCTGAGGCCTCAGCATTGTCAAGCTGTACCACGAACAGTGTATCAACCGACTTAAAAGAATGCCTGAACTGGTTGGCCAACACACAGCGCGCTGGGACGTTCAGGCGTCTGTGTTTCAGTGGGCAAAGTATCTCGACTTGCCACTATATTGCCTTTCCGTTTTTGTTGAACGAGACAATGTTGTACTGGAGGTCCAGAATGACTTCGTTGGCTCGCAACCAATCCATGCCTAGGATGAGGTTGACACCTGACAAAAGTGGTAGGACATAGACGCAAATTGTTTTGCTATAGTCCTGTACATTCATGTCGATATGTGTCTGTCCTTTACTTGGAATGACACGATCGTCACCCAAGCGGATGGGACATGATGGTCCTACAACGAGGACGTTGCGTGTCGTAACCCAAGTTTTATCAACAAGGGAAACCGATGCGCCTGTATCAACGAGAATCCTTGCTTCGTCCCCATTCATGCTTCCAGATAACAGTAGATTCTGTTGGAATCTTGGACGGATGGGACAAGCGACAACAAGCTTAGGAGGTCGATAGTACAGCCTAAATTTGTTGTGAGCGCGTCCAAACCTTTGGGATGTGGTCCACCATACATGGTGCCCCTTGTCCCATGTTGCCAGGATATGTCATTCGTGAAATCAGCGGAATTACTCTCCTTTCACGATTCGAGTCACTAATCCCACAGACGTGAGCAGGTGCTCTTGGACACAACAGTCCACAATATCCATGATTGCTGGCAACTCCTTGAATGAGCAAGAGATGATTGAAAACTTGTCTCTCAAGGATTCAACTGAGATGTTTTCAAGTGGGTATGATCGAGTTTTAAAAACAGATTTTTCATTGATAGAAGAGGCATACAAACAAGCGATTTTGCATGATGCAAGCTTCTCTAGCTTTAGCAAATCCTCATCACGAAGGACATAAGCCTCATCTTCTCGATCTCGCTCACCAACTAGGTACCCACCCCCTAGTTGGACTTCGGAGAATCCTTCGAACCCAAAGGGCCCAAACCATCCGGCTTCTTGCCCTGGTTGGGCTTGCCGGAGTTCTTAACGGACTTCCTCCAACGGCAGTGATAGGCCCTGTGGCCAAACTTGCCACAAATGCGGCAGCCCGTCGGGGACTTATCATCATCCTGTAGATCCTTGGCAGGCCCAGCATGGGCCCTCTTGGACTGAGTCCCAGAGGCTTCACCCCTCTGCTGATAGGGCCTCTTCTAAGAGCCACCACCCCTGGGCGCATGGGTCCTGCTACCACCCCCCCTAGGGCCTTCGGCACAAGGCTTCTGCTGATCACGAGTGCACTTGAGGTCTAGGTACGCACGGAAGTGCACATCCGTGCTGATGACCTGGTCCTTACACTCCTTGTGGGTCTTCCACTGGTGCTCCCCCTTCATCGTATGCACACGCTTGATGTGCTGAGAAAGTCCCTTGAAGAACTGGTGGATGACCTCGCTCTCAGGGAGAGCAGTCTTTAGCAGCGACAGAGTTTTCTCAAACTCCTTGGCGTAGTCGCGTACAGGCTGGTCACCACACTGGATGTTCTCCAGGCGGCTATGCACCTTAAGCGCCGGGGGCTGAACCAGGAACGCCGTCAGCATGGCCACTTTGAACTCATCCCAGCCAAAGGGGTGGCCATTCGCCTCTGCGTGGCGCTTGTTGGCATACACCAACTTGCTCACAGTGTCGTCTAGGGCAAAGGTCGCAGCGACCACGCGAGCCGCGCTACCCACATTGTGGATAGACATGAAGTCCTCCGCAATGGAGAGCCAAGTCTCCACATCAGTTTTGCCATGGACAAAACGAGGCAGGGCCGAAAGGCATGAGCCAAAGGCATTTGCAGCTGCAGTAGGAGGCTCGACATGTGCTCTAGAAGGAATAGGACCAGCAGGAGGTGCAGTACCAGGTGCAGCACGGCTGTTAGCGGTGTTGGCAACTCGCTCTATTGCAGGAGCAGGCTGATAGAGGTTTCTACGCTAGATCTCCCTGTACTGAGCGTGAAGCACTGATATGTTTTTCTCTTGTTTCTTGAGCTGATCCTACATGAACTAGAGAGTGGTCTGCAGGTCCTGAATGAAGTTGGAGGTGTCGTTTTCCTTGGGGATCAACTAAACCTCCCTGGTCAGCTTCTCAATCAAGGCATGAAGCCTAACATAATCAGCCTCCAAGTTTTGGATGCGACAGTGCTGCTCTCCAATGAGAAGCTGCTGCTCCGTGAGTTGGGTCTGGAGCTTGACAGCAATGTTCTCGGTCTCATTGGAAACACCCTCATCAGAGCCAGCCTCATCCTAATTTTCAGCATCAGCCTCAAGGCCAGCTTCACTTCCATTGATCTCCATGTCAACCACAAAGTCCTCAAGGTTGAGTTCAATGTCAGCAGCAGCAGCATTATCTCCTTCATTGCCAACAACAAGCACCTCCCTAGTTGCATCCATCTCTTGATCAGAAGCCATGAAATAGGTTAAGGAGAGGAGATCTCAACATATCTGAGAATAATATTTAATAAATCTGATTACTCTTATAGAATAATCCAATACAAAATCTTTTAAGATTGACTTGTTTGCTAAATCTCTCTATCACCTCAATGATAGAGCAAGATATACTTTAAAGAGTAATCCTTGACAAGTCCTTGTAGATCTGAAGATACACTCTTCTATCTAAGATAGATTAGAGTCTTCCACCAAAGGTGGATGAGAGAAATTAATTTCTTCAAATTTCTTCTCAATGTTGAAGGAGAAGAAATAGTTGATTGTAGATCTTGCAAGCTCCAATGGTGTGTTGAAGAGATTGAAGCTTGAAACTTGTAGATCTTGAAGATGCTCTTATAGATCTTGAAGAGAAAATTGTAGATCTTGAAATTTCTTCAAAATCTTCACAACTCCTTGGATATAATCCTAGATCCACAAGCTAAGATCCCAAAACAAAAAACAATCCAAGAAGCAAATGGCCACACAAGGCCAAGGAAGAACCTTGCTCTAGATACCAATGTAGTGCCCAAGGCTATTATAATGGCGTTTACAACGCTTTTATTGTATTCGAATGCAAAATAGTAGCCCTAGCTAGCCTCAATAGCCTTGGAGATGAAGATCTTCTTGATGCCTTTGATGGAAAGCACTTGGAGTACTAGTGTAGGGAAGCTTGTGAGAGAGACAAAAGGACTTGGCCAAATAATCCCATTTCCAAGTGTTTAGTTGGAGTGGGAGGTTGAGAATGAGCTTGGCTAGCTCAAACCCCCTCAATACACCCCTTGGGAGACTTTGCCAACCATGGTTTCCATGGTGGAATCCCTAGGCTTGGAGCCTATGTGGCAATTAGTTGGGTTGGGAAAACCCAACTTAGAACCATTGGATGGTTGTGTTTATGATAGAGAAGATTGTAACAAATGTTTGGCAGTTTGTGATTGGTGGCAATTACAAATTCAATCTCACTTTGATGGGTTGGAGTTTTCCAATCCTCTTGGTTGAGGTTTGGAAAACCAAACCAACCCTTCCATCCCAACCAAAGCCAACCTTCTTCTCAAAGTCCCTCTTTGTCAAGAAAACTCTCCACATTTGCCTCGAGGGAAGTTGATTAGTTAGCTTAGGTAGGGCAATGTGTTACACATTCCAGCCCGGATCCTAGTAACATACGATAGAAATGTTGTAAACGTGCAGTCGCGAATGTGATCTAGTTGATCGCAGTGCGCATACGACGATCTGGTCTTATGTGGCGACCTAATATTTATTGGTCGGCCAATATCTTTCAATGTACTTAGGAACGTGATCAGGGATGTGACGATTTCTACGATGAGGTCAAAGGAGAGGAATATTGGGATGGAAGGCTTGGTGGCTTATTGGTTGGCCAATCTCGTACAGTACAATAATGACTACAGGTTCATATTGGTGCGGAATGGTTGGAAGCGGTGAAGAGTAGAACAACAGCTGACCGTATTACACCTGATGCTCGTTTGAGTCCCCCAGTGTTGCCTTGTGAAGAGGGCGCTTAAGTGATTCTTGCATTTTGAGAATAGTTGAACGAAAATGAATGAACTATGAATGGAAGTGATACAAATATGCAACCCTAGAAATGTGTACCCCATATGGGCTACCCCACTATAGCCTACACAATATTATAACTTGACACACCCCCATAGGCAAAGTGGGGGAGAACAAGGGGTCACAAGACCGGTCAAGCAAAGCAAAGCAAAGCTTAGGGTGGATCACAACGTCACCACACAGTCCGAGCACAAGGTCAAGGCCACAAGGCCAGTTCACATGCAGGAGTACACACATATATATATACATATATATATATGAAAGACTAAACAAGCAAGAGCAGGTATATATATATATATGTAAGAGTACAAGCAAGGTCAAGAGGTGAGCAAGTGAGGCAAGTGTGAAAGTTTAGAAGAAAGAAGAGGATTGAACTAGCAGGAATGAGGATACAAATAGCAAACCCTAGAAGGGTTGTACTCGCTATAGAGCACCCCACTACAGGCTAGAGCATAATATTCTGACACACCTCCATAGCCAAAGTGGGGTGTAATCAGCAGAGCAAGCAAAGCAGTACAAGCTCAGGGTGGATCACAATGTCACCACACATTCTGAGCACAAGTTCAAGAAGCAATAGTTTAAGTTCACAATTATGAGCAAAGCTAGGGGCTATCGCATAGGGCAAGTGAGGAGGAGAGAGAGTGAGAGGAGAGAAGATAGGAGGCGACGACTGAAGCTGCAGACACACGCGCAACAGGAGGCACACTGGCACAGCGGCTACCAGAACAACGCTCCGGAATACTGGACTAACTGGCCCCGCGGCTAAAGTAGCGGCAGACGAGCAACGGACCCACGGGCGAGTGGCACAGCTGGCTACGACTGGGCTACCGGACGAATTCCCCGGAATACAGGTGCTGCAGGCGACACGACGACAACCTCCGTGCAACTTCCCAAACAGTCCCACCCCCCTAACACACACCCGCTGCTACACCCCTAGCTCCACTCCCACCCCACCCCCTAGCACCACTCCGTCGAATCCCACACACTCACCCCCCTCAGCGGAAGCTGCAGCAGTGGGATTCAGAGGAGGAGGAGGAGTAGGGGAGACCACACACCCGCCACCCCCCAGGTCGCGGCCCCCTCAGGTCGCCTCGACAGGCGACGGGAAAAGGTGGGGGGGAGGCGGTGTCGAGGAAGGGGCCCACCACGGGCCTGGTAGGGTCGCCCAAGCCGCGCGCAGGCGGCCCGAGTCGCGCGCGGGCCTGGCGCCGCCCGTACGGGCTGCGCGCGGGCCTCGCGCAGCCCGTACGGGCCGCGCGCTGCCTGTACGGGCCGCGCGTAGGCCACGACGGGCGACGGGGGGTGACGACCGGGTCCCCGTCGCCCGTCGCGGCGCCTCCCGAGGGCGACGCGCCGATCGACGGGGCCGAAGCCCGCCGCGCGCCTTGGGGCGCACAGCGGGCAGAGAACCGCCGCGCGCCTTGGGGCGCACGGCGGGCAGAAACCGCCGCGCGCCTCGGTGCGCACGGCGGGAAGAAAACCGCTGCGCACCTCGGGGCGCACGGCGGGAAGAAAAACATCCACACGCCAGGGGGCGTGCGGCACCGAGTGTAGTGATGGTAGTTGCAGCGGAAGCAAGGGGGTGGTAAGCCCACTCACAGGATCGATCCAACGGGATCGACCTGCTCTGATAGCATGTGAAAGTTTAGAAGAAAGAAGAGGATTGAACTAGCAGGAATGAGGATACAAATAGCAAACCCTAGAAGGGTTGTACTCACTATAGAGCACCCCACTACAGGCTAGAGCATAATATTCTGACAGCAAGACAGGCACAAGGCCCAGCTGAGTGCAGAAGCGCTGATGATCACAAGGCGGAAGTGCCTTGGTGAAAACATCAGCAGTGTTGGCCTCAGAGGCCACATACGCAAGTCGCAACAGACCACGCTGCTCCAGCTCACGAGCAAGAAAATAGCGGAGAGCAATGTGCTTCGTTCTGTGCTCCAGCCGCTGCTCTCGACACAAGGTCAGTATGGCCTTGTTGTCTACGTACATCACTAGAGAAGAACGAGGCGGCTCTCCAAGGTCGGTCAGCAGGTAGGTGAGCCAGCGAAGCTCCTGTGCAGCCATGGCCTCGGCGTAGATCTCAGCCTCACAACTAGAGCCGAGAACAGAAGACGAGCGAGTAGCCCGCCACGAAACAGAGCCGGAACCAAGAGTGAAGATGTAACCCTGCGACGACCACTGAGTGGCGTGGTCGTCAGCCCAAGAAGCGTCCGCGTGGCCAGTGAGAACCACTGGACTCCGCCCTCCAAGCACTAGCCCCATGCCCGACGTACTGCACAAGTAGCGCAACACCCTCTTCGCTGCAGCCATGTGCTCTGGTCGGTGTCTCCTAGGAGCAACATAGCGTGCAAGTATGCTAAGAGGGTATGCAAGGTCAGGTCGTGTGCAGGTCATCAAGTACATGAGGCAGCCAACAAGCTCTGGGTACGGGCCACTCGACTCTATGGACTCATCCGAAGGCAGAGCTGAGAGCGAGTGGCGAGTAGACAGAGGAGTGGCCTCAGGCGAGGAGTACGTGAAGCCGAAGCGCTGAAGGACCTGCTGCACCATGTGTGACTGAGTCAAGGTAATGGTGCGGATGCTCTGTCCCTGGTGATCTGAAAGCCAAGATAGCTGCGCAGTTCACCCAGGTCTGTGCACGTGTGTCTCTTCTGCAGCTCAGACTTCACGTGGGCGAGTCCAGCAGTGTCAGCTGTGGCAAAGACCAAGTCGTCGACGTACACGAGGATGTAGAACGACGGCAGAGAGGTGTCGGTGCGCAGAAACAACGACGGGTCAGCAGTAGAGGGAGCAGACCCAAGAGCCGCAAGCGTAGTCCTCAGTGTGTCGTGCCACTCGTGCGGTGCCTAGCGAAGACCATAGACTGGCCGTCGGAGGCTCCACTGGGTGCCAGGAGGGAAAGTCCCAGTGAAGCCAGGTGGACGGCGCAGCCAGATCTCCTCGTGCAGGCTACCCTGCAAGAAAGCAGTGCTGAAGTCAAGAGAGTGAAGTTCATAGTCACGCTGCGCGGCTATGTGCAGCAGCATCCGAAGAGTGGTCATCTTCGGGGTGGGAGAGAAGGTCTGAAAGTAGTCAACTCCCTGCCGCTGACTGAAGCCACGAGCGACGTACCGCGCCTTGAAGACAGGTGGAGAGCCTGGCAGCCGCTTCACCATGAAGATCCACATGCCAGTGAAGATGTTTGCCCCACGAGGGGGAACCGCGTCAACGTAGGTGCCTGTGGACTTCTTGGAAGCCATCTCTGCATCCATAGCTGCCTGCCACTGAGAGGAGTAGGGACCCTCTACGGCCTCCGCGTAAGAGCGCGGAGTCGGGATGTCTAGTGCATCCGGGTCTCCCTCAAGGGCAAGCAGTACAGACGCGAGATGAGGTGAAGCAGCAGCCAGACACTAGAACTCCTCCTGCCTGTCCTCAAG